AAGTACCATTAATCACCTTTATATAAAAAAATCTCAACCTCATGCTATTTCTATTTACTTTTAAATTCATCATGATTTCACAATATTTTAGGTCACATAAACTTTTAGAGTATTATAAACTTTAAAGCATCAATAACGCTTCAACCCCATCCTATAACCTTTACATTTTTAACTCAATTGTATTAGTCATAGAAAATACCTTAATCGTAGTTCAAAACTATCAAAAGCCTAAATGAAATTTAATCCAAGTACAGTCATTTTCATGCACCCATTTGTAATGAACATATAAGTCTGTCGTCCCAAGAGGTCTTTGTATGGTCTCAAGCAAGCTCCTAGAGCTCGATTTGAGAAGTTCCATGATATGATTGTGCAGGCTAGGTTCTCTCATAGTCAAAATGATTCCTCCTTGTTTATGCGACACACTATACATGGGATTACGGTTTTACTTCTGTAAGTGGATGACATGATTATTTCTGGTAATGATTACTCAGGAATTAAGGAACTCACTGAGACCCTTCGTCAAGCGTTTAAGATCAAGGAACTCGAGGATGTTTCCTATTTCATGGGACTGGAGATAGAAAGGAGTAAGCATGACATTCTGGTTAGTCAACAGAATTATATTCGGGATCTGTTGTTGGAGCATCAGTTTGAAAACTGCAAGTCGTGTACTGTTCCTATGGAACAAAATTTGAAGCTAAGCATAACTAGTGGAGATTTGCTGGATGATCAGACGCAGTATCAGACTATTGTTGGCTTGCTTAGGTACCTTAGTTCTACTAGGCCAGACATAGCCTATGCAGTAAAGGTAGTGAGTCAGTTCATGGGTATGGTACGTATAATGCACTTAGATGCAGTGCACATGATTCTGTGTGTTAGAAGCATTCATAGATGCAAATTTTGTTGGATGTGTTGACATGCGCCGGTCAACGTCAAGGTGGTGTGTGAGGTTTGGTAGTTCGTTTGTATCATGGAGATGTAAGAAACAAGATCGGGTTTCAAAATCTTCTATATAAGCAGAATATAGGTCTATGTCAGAGGTCAGTTCGAAACTTGTATGGCCACAACGTCTTCTAGGTGAGCTGGATGTGGAGTGCAGTATACCGATGAAGTTGTTTAGCGATAATACAAGCGTTATTCGGATAGCTACCAATCCATTTCTCCATGATCGGACAACGCACATTGAGATGCATGTTCATTACATTAAGCAACTTGTGACAGAGGGAGTCATTTAGCTTAGTTATTTGTCAACAAAAGATCAGACTACAGATTTGTTGACAAAGGCAGTTGGTACCAGTCGACATTGGTTCCTGTCTAACAAACTGACGTTGTGTAAGCACCATCAATTTGAGGGAGTGTGTTGAAAATATCAGTTTACTTAGTTTAGGTGACTTATTGCAATTATCCATTCTGCCGTAAGTACCTAGGCTAAGTATGAGTAGGGTTATTAACGTTAGATAACCTTGTTATATATTGATTATCCCATGTACTCAGTAAACTAAGCTGAATAACTTTGACTCTGGAAGTGCTACCTCTCTCGTTGACTAGTCCTGATCATTAGAGAAACCACGTAAAATCCGGTGTTCGTGTTATTGTTTTTGAGTTCTTATCACTAGGTTCTCTTGACTTGAAGTTTGCACGATCATCATACCATGTGCTTTAATCAACTGTTCCTAACCCACGAGCTTAAAGTTTGCACGATCACCATACCTTATGCTTTAATTAATGTTAATATTGGAGGTCATGGAGATTCGAACACACAATCACTTGAGCAAACCAGGCTCGGATACCATATCATAACCAGTTGGTCTCAATAACTCGAGTTGTTGGGAGAAAGTTTATTATGGATCTTATACCAATTTCTAACAGGAGCAACATCTCAAGCTTTCTAGTTCTAATGAAGATTGTTTGCATGTCGCTCTTTTGATTTTCTTTCCTGGTTGTATACAAGAATGCAATTTGTTCTATCTCTTTCTAATCAATATAAGATTATCTTTTGTAAAAAAAATATAAGATCGTTTGTCAGCACCGATGGTACTACCCTTTGTAGTTTAGTCGAGAGTCTGGTATATTTGACCTCCACTCGTCTTAACATTTTATATGCAATCAATATGGTTAGTTTTGATTTATGACGACCCTCAAGACTAATCATGTTGATGTGGTTCATCGCGTATTACGCTACTTACAATAAATTCAACAGGTTGGTCTTCATTTTCCTTCCTCAAGGGATCTCTTTGACACAACTCATGCCGACGTTGAATATATCTAATGCCTCGATATTTGTCGTTTTACATAGATCATCATGTCTCTTTCGATTCATGCTTCGAATTTGTGATTGTTTAACCGTTATCTTCTCTCAAAAGAGCCTCTTTTTTTTCGTGTCCCGACCTTTTAAAAAAACTGTTAGTAGAGTGAAAGAGTCATATTGCAGTAACAGCGGAAGCTAAGCTATAAAACAAAATCAGAACGGAGAGAAGTGAGAAGTTTGCTGAAAGTGCCTGGACCAACAATTAAATCAAACATTTCATGGCAAGACCAGAATTTATTATGCATTAGATGCCTGTCTTTAATCTACACCAAATTAGATCGGTTGGGAAATTGATGGAAGATCATGGCCTGTACACCATCAAAAAAGGCACCAACTTCAATTTTATGATCTACAAATGAACCACACCTAATAGCGCTAGCTCATTAGGGAAAACATTAAGTTTACTATAAATGCAATTGTCGCAGGGATGGATTCCTTATCCATAAACTCAGTTACTAGTGACGTCTGGATCACTACCTAACGAAAGAGCGAAATAGTGACTTGAACAGCTACAAGTTCATAAATTATAAGAACACTCGATAAGAAATTCACTAGTCAGCAGATTGATTCTTAGCTGTTGCATGTGTTATAATTTTATTTCATTATCAGTTCTAATATGCCTCAATAATTACTTATTCAACTTTCATGTTATGTTTTCTTAATTATAAACTCAATATCCAACTTTCATATGATTTCTTAAGTCATTTAATTTCAAATTTGATTTTAATATAGTCAAAAAAAATTTATCAAACTTTTATAGTTTTATAGTATGGTTTCTCAAGTCATTTAGTATTAAAATAAGATAATTTTACATTTTTGCAATTGTTTTCCATTTTCAGTTTTATATTGTTGAACAATTAGTCGTTTATGCTTTGTAAGTTATTAAACTTGTTTATTTTATTTTCTTAAGTCCATTAATCTACAATTAGATCAAGAAAGTTTTACAGGATACTCTTGAGTAAACAATGAACCAATTAATTTTTTTTAGAAATACTGTTGCTCTCATACGTTCAATTTCAATTATTAAAATATGGTGTAATACATAACATTGAAATTATTATTAACTTATTAATTTGTTTAGTTCATATTGAACCTACCATTGCATATATTTGTTTTTGTATAAATCTTATTTTAAAATCTAATATTCTAGAAAATGCGAGTTATAACTAGGGGTGGGCATTGGGTGGGTCGGGTGGATTTTGACCATAAAATACACCCACCCGCGCTTAAACGGATTGATAATTTTTAACCCACCACCCACCCACATTTAGTCTCGGGTTGGGTCGGGCGGATGGTGGATGATGCGGGTGGGTTTGTGGGTTCACCCACATCACAATGTACATAATATAAATGTGTCAACTTGACATGATAATAGGTGAAGAGAATCATCGAGGGAAACAAGAAGTTGAAATAGGGCGAAAAATGTCAAATTAGTTCTTAAATTGGATAGAAATTCTATTATGAAAGAGTTTTCTACAAATTGAGATGATTATTAGGTGCAAGAAACTAAGGAAAATAATTCCACAAATGAAAGAGCAGTGATTTAGGCACAAGAATTAGAGGAAAAAGTAAAGGGAAGAAGAGGGGATCTCTATTTGGAAGGTTGACTTTGAGGTTCAAACTCGAGGAGCGGTCCAAGTTTATATCTAACGTCTCCACTCTCCTCTCTCTAGCGCCAACGACTTTGATCTTTTTGCTGTTGGGTTGAGCGGGTCACCCGCACACTCACCCACAACCCACCCACCACCCGGCAGATGGCTCCCAGCGCAACCCGCGGTCACCCACCCACAGACCCACCCATTTAACGAAATTCGGGTCAAATGCGGGTGGGTCGGCCCAAACCCGCGGATGATCCGCCCGCATGCCCAACCCTAGTTACAACAATATTGAAAATATTTTCCTTTTCTAGTTTTGCATAATTTTTTCAAATTTTCTTTGTACAAAAATAAGAAGAGAAAAACTCCAATCCACCCCTACATGTATATATCTCTTCAAAAGAATATATAAGGATGTATCAACATTTATCGTATGATTCTTTGCATCCAAAAATTTTACCCAACCTGATCCAGCTATTCTTGTTCTTGTTTCTCTAACTAAATAAACGTAGGATTCTCAGCACATTGACAAGAACAAAGTTACCCCCATACAGAAAATATGTTTCATGCAACTCTTTTAATTATTTATGTGTAAATCGTTGATCTTTACACACGCACACTATATGTATTTATCGGGGGCAATCTCATTAATTTCATCTACTAAGTAACTAATATATGCTCGCCCAGAAAGAAAGAAAAAAACTAATATATGTTTACGAAATCCAATCAACTAATCATATTATTATTATTTCATTATTGGTGAAATGAAATCGTTTTTCCCTAGCTAAAATAATGACTAGCATCTGCCATTTTTTTCCTTGGGTCACGCATGTGGAATATGACATTTTTCATAATATAAAAGGACCACCGATTATTAATAACGTCGATGGACAAACAATGATACATTACTAGCAATACTTATTGTACCCAAATCACAGCATCCGCCAGTCTCCTCCCTCTCTCCCTCCCTCCATCTCTCTCCCCCTTCCCTCCCTCCCGCCGCCGCCACTAACTATCTTCCACCACCGCTAAAATCCCTCTTCCCATCTATGAATCACACTCCTCTTTCTTAATTCCATTTTAACGAAAATCACAAAGCAATGCCGAAAGCTCTCGGAAGAAACCTGCAAAGCTGCTTCAGCGTCATCACCAAACGCCCACTCCTCCCGCCGCCGCCGCCGTGCCGATCACGCGCCTCACCCTCCCCGCCGTCACCAGAAGATCACAACCCACCAATCCCAAATCTATTCAAAAGCTACAACTCCCTTTTCGAGGAAGCCCAACCCCCAACAACCCCGCCGCCGCGGGTCTCCTCCGCTTCCTCCGCCTCATCCTCCTCCTCCTCGGAGCCCGACTTCGCCACCGTCTACGCCTCCCAGCGCTTCTTCTTCTCCTCTCCCGGCCGCTCCAACTCCATCGTCGATTCCTCCTCCGCCGATCTCACCGATTGCATTGTCGCAGAAGCGGATCGCCGGGAAGTATCTCCGCCCCCGCCGCCGCCGGAGATAGCGGTGAAGGACGGGGTGGCGGTCCCCACGTACTCCCCGGACCCGTACAGGGACTTCCGGCAGTCGATGCAGGATATGGTGGATGCGACACGTGGGCGAGGGGGATTGGTGGACGTGGGGTCCAGCTGGGAGTACCTGCACGAGCTTCTGCTCTCTTACCTTGCACTCAACCCAAAGACAACCCACAAGTACATCGTTTGCGCCTTCGCCGACCTCCTTGTCAACCTTCTCTCCTCGGCGACGGAGACGGCGACGGAGACACGCGGCGGCGGCGGTTGTCGCAGGTAGCGTGGGGACGTGGCAGGATTATAATTATTTTGTGTGCGTAATAATCTGGTCTGGTCTGAATCATGTTTTGATCCCTCCTAATTGATTTTGTTATCATTATTGTTGATCAGCTATGTGTATACATTATATTCATACGACTTAATAATTAAATTAAATTAAATGCACGTATATATGGCGCAGAACGGTAACTCTATTTTTCCTCAATTTTGATTTGTGGTTGGTTACTACTGTTACTGTTTCATCGTTTTTTTTTTTTTTTATAATGGTGAATTTCATTACCAAAACTGAACATACACCAGGGGTGTACAAAAGGAGAACAAGGCAAGGAAGATGCAAGGGGACACCATAATTCCAAAGTTAGGATTTGGAGCAAAAGTGGATTGAATTAAGGATTTGCTATTATTTCTCCCAACTTAATTTGGGTCTTTAAAAAAGAAGAGTAGTTAATAGTCTAAGATGGTATCACCTTTTGCTATTGTTGTATTATAACATGCATTGCAGTCAAAATCGCGCTTTAAAACTTAAAAGCTTACAATTTTACGTTTTTAGGTCAACAAAAAACTTATGTTCCCTATAAAAACTCTAGTGTATAAAATCGGGTTAAATTGCGCTTTAAATCTTAAAAGCTTACGCTTTTACGTATCTAGTTCACTAAAACGCTTTACGCTTTTAGTTCACTAAATGGGTATACTTGTCATGAAATTAATAATAAAAAGTATAATTTAAAGGTAAATCGCCAACAATATGATACATTTGAGATAAAAATATACATATCCCATACTTGAATGCGTTTTCAGCTTCAATAGATTAATCTAATTCACCAGCTAGGCTCTTCCCAATTTCATTAGCACAGAGGGTATAAGATGGTTTATTGTTAAAATTTATGAATATGAACTTATTCATCATGAATTGCAGGTACTTATTAACTTATCCAAATTCTGTGCACTCATATTTTACATAGTATATATGTAGTACTTAACAGAATTTTAGTTATTTTACAGTATGTGTCAAAATCTTACGCTTTTACGCTTTAATTCTACGCTTTACGGTTTTACCCCTTTTCCGCTTCTAGGTAGAATCGCGCTTTTAACTGCATTGATAAAACGTGATTCAACATAGAAGTAAAAATAGAGTGAAAGCGAAGGAATGGGTAAAACCGTAAGTTTTTATACATTCAATGAATTTATATTCTTACCAATATTCTGACGCGAGAGCATAAACTACTTGAAAATTACAACACAAAATTTTATGCTATTGAAATTTTAAGCGCGAACTGTATGTACAGAAATCAGAAATGTACAGTTTGGTAAAATGTAAAGTAATATATATGCTTTCTCTTTCCCAATAAACGAGTCTCTCCCCTCTAAAAATAAGTATATATATTCATCATTCTGTATATTTTGAACAAGTAGCTAGATTTTAATTATTTGGCGCTGCAACACAACAGTGCAGCGAGGTAGCTAGCGACCCTTCATTTGCTTTTTCCTGCAGGCTGCATACATTTCCATCTTTCACAGAGTAAAATATCATTGATTTTGAATTTCTTTTTTTTTTACTTCTTCTTTTTGCGTAGATGGTCCAGAACTGGTTTTGTCGCGAACCTAAACAGAAAACAGTAGTGTGTATGGATGGAGTATAGTATAGATAGAGAGCTGATGGGGACAAATATACCGACGTTGTAACTTTAGATGGAATGGAACAGTTACCTGCACCATTCGACCAAACAGAAACAGATCATCAGAAAAAACGAAAAAATCAAACAGAAACAGATGGTTTGGATCCAAGTTGATAGTGTTTCGTAGTCACTTGAACAAACAGGTATTCCATCTGAAACAGTAGCGCACACTTTGAGCCACGCCGATTATATACGTGTGGTAATTTCCCCTTTAGTGAAAGATTTTGCTTTGATTTAGTTCACATACTCAGAGCTGGTAGCTAGGAGATGGATGTATCATGCTAACGACTGATGGTGCTGACGCGGGTAACGATTGTCTATTTTTATAGATCTTTTTAATAAAAATATTTTTATTTGTCTTTTTGTGTGGATAAATAATAATGTGTACAAGTATGCACATGTAAAGAATAATTAATAAATTTCAAGTTGTGTTTCATTCCACTAGCATTTACCATATAAAATATGACTACAAATTTATAATTGTGTAACCATATTTAGTGAAAATCGGTCGACCTATGAAAAATGAGACCGACCATCAACGATTTTTTACGAGGTCCATCAAAAGAGTTAATCTCCAGTCACCATAGATTATCATTCAAAGTTCACTAAATACTTATATTAAATGTATTAAAGGTGGTTAATGATTGGGTGGAGAATACAAAAAAAAAAGACCGAGAAAAATAAGACTGTTAAATAACAATACGGAAAAAATGCATTTCAAAAGCATGAGATATTAGGAAAACTCTTTTTTTGTTTTAAGAAAAATTGCAGAGTTTTTCCAAAGATGGCCTAATATTGACAGAAAATTACGCATTAACTCATTATGATTAATGCAACAAAGAAACGAGCTCTATGTTTGTGAGTTTAAAATCCTGATTGCTTTCATTCTATATATATAATAGTCTGATTCTAGTTAAGAGCTGTTAATTGCTTTGAAATTTCGTAGGCACTAATCAGTTGCGGAGGGAGGTAGTGACGAGTGGAGTGTTAGGACCTTGACAAAATATTACCCTACATAATCCTTCAAATATATAGGGTTGAGTATGATTTTCAAGATTAGAACTCCATACTCTCGTTTATCTTAACTCATGAGACCCCAATAAATTCAAAATTTATTAAATACACAAAGTTTAGTGTAATTAAATTTTTAGAGACCCCAATAAACTCGAAATCTGACTACGTCACTGTACATTATTATTGAATTTTAATAATGAACCTCCAAAACCTAGTGAAACAAAACCTGTACTGTCTTAATAGGGACAATGAGGAACGCCAATGGTTTCGGATAGAGAATCTGAAGATGAAAACAAGCCTTTTTCCAATGGTTTATGGATTTAAAGATAATTGATTATAGGCTAGATAACCAATTAAACATTTGTCCTTTTGGGAAAAAGGCTCAAGTTATATGCACTGCAAGACAAGGCATATTTATATATAACTACTAACCCACACAAGAGTCTACATATTTACTTTTTGGATTGACAGAAAAATTGATTTGAGTAAGAAGAATCTTAATTTGCATCAATCTTGTTGGCACACCTGCTGGACAACTAGCTATCAGGGATTAACAAGTGGGTAAGCTAAATAATTAATTAAATGATAATTTAATTTACTGGGCTAGTTAAGCACAGACAAACTTTGCAGAGGAATCTCAAAGAGATAATCTACAAAAATGGAACAAACAGAACAGAAGAGAGTGAGCATGGAGATCCAAGGGATGAGGTGGCATGGTGCTTCAGTTGGGATTATATAGTATTAATTGCATCAAGTATACGTACGTACTTGCCTGTAGAATACTAATTATTATATAATTAACCAGAAACCCACATTGGAAATTGGTGGAGTCAGGATTTAATTTTTAAGTTTGGAGGAAATATGAGGAAAAAAATAAAAAGCAAAATATTTTAAAATTTTTATTTTTATTTTGTTACTTTGACTATCATTAAAAATATATAAAAATCTTTAATACATTGTTCTATGGACATCCTATTTTCATAACTAAAATGAAAATTTCTACCAATATCGATCTTTATAGAATTAGAAATATCATTCATTATATATATAAAAGAAAGTATCATTAAATTTGAATAATTTAATTGATCTAAGTTTAAATTAAGAAATTATAAACCAAAATTTTAAAATTTGACTGATGAAATTAATTTGTTTAGCCAAATAAAAACTTAAAGTGGAATAAAAATAACAAACATCCATCTTATATTTCAAACAATCGTAAAATTGGAGGACCTAATTAATCCAATTTGAAATAAAAGAATTGAAATACAAATTAGAAAAGTTGAAAAGCTAAATCATATTATTGAAGTGAAACTGAAGTTACGTTCAGGACTTGACTTTGATAGAACGGAGCAAGGGACGGAGCAAGGGAAAGAAAACGGAAGAAAAAAAGGAGTAAAAAGGAAGAGAGAAATATATGGAGGAGAATTGTTTGCAACCATGATTGTTATGTCGATCGGTTAAACTAGGTTCAATGGATATCGGTGATGAAACTGTTTGGAATTTCAGTGATATGATGCTTCAGTCAATTCCAGTCAAAATCAAGAATTTCGAGTAGTCCAACCTGTTTTAGATTCTGGTCGCTTACCTAAATGCCTATGTGTTAAAAGACCAAAGCATCCCGCTCTTTCGCAGTTGCCCAAGCCCAACCAGTGCGTTGTTTGTTATTCCCAACCACTACGAGATTCATCAAAATAGAATGGGGATCTATTTTGTTGGCGAGCATTCATTGGTTTTTACTTTTTACTATTGAAATAGAAGGTTTCCCACTTAGCTTGGCTAATCTTTCGATTGTGTTCTGAAGAAGATGATGTATGCTTGTTATGAGGTTCATGTTATAGTGAAGGTTGGCTTAGAACCTGAAATTTTATTGTAACCCGCATAAATCGTTATAAAATTGATTGTACCACTGGTAGAACCATTTCACTTGTGAAATCGTCGTACCAACATAAACCGATTTGAGAACCTTGATGGTAACCAAACAATAAAAGAGATATTTTAGATTGGATACTTATCCGTCAAGTCTCGTCAATGAAATTGAGGACTTGACCAATCAACTATGAAAATTATGATGACAGGATTGACTTTTTAGTAGTATAACACAATAAATACAGTGAAAAAAGCATGGGAAATTGATATTTACTTTACATGTGCATCGAGAAACCAAGACAATAGGGTTACCTAACATCGCCCTTTTTGCTGCGATAAGATAATTTTTTTTGTTATTTAGTTGCACAACACTAATTTTTAATAAATAAGTTTATTGTACCTATATATAAAAGGAAGGTTTTTGGGGCAAAATTGGCCGGTGTGC